TATTTTAAATATCCCCTACTAAAGTGACACTAGAGGATTCCTTGTAGGAAATAAGTTGTTGTCTTTTAAAGAAGGAGACTGCACTTTCAGCTGTGCTTACAGATAATTGAAGACAATAGTTGAAGAAATGCCAGTGATAGTTACCATGTGCCCACAATAACACCCACTTCAATTTCTGCTTGTATATTACAATATCAGTGAACAGGGTAAAATTATTTAACCTATATTAATTTATCACTATTAAGCAAAGACCATTTTATACACAGTAATTCACCTCCTTTGCTGTGCAGGCACATTTGCACTAAAATGCATCAAGTCTACAGTGTCACAGTAGAGTAGTAGACAAAACTTACCCCTGTGTTTTTGGAAACACAGTCTTTCTCCTGACAATTTTGCTATGTGGTTGGGGGGAAAACCATAGTGATCCTTCTAAACTATTACCTCTCTAAATATCAACATGTTCTCCACAAAAAGTCAGTAGTAAGTTGACCCAGTCCTCTAGGTATAGGGAAGTACCATGACTATATATTGATAGAGTAAGTAACCTTATAGAATAAAGCAATAAAATAGAGCAAAGTTCAGATACAAGTAAGAATCTTGATTTCTGCACTGAAATATAATTGTTGTTGTAGAACAGTTCTGTCCTGGTGGCTGCTTCACAAATTACCACTCTGAGGCTTAATATTAATAATAAATGTTTGGCTAATAGCTCAGGCTTCTTATTAACTAGATCCTACATTTTAAATTTACCCATATTCCTTATTTACACACTGCCAAGTGGCCGTACCATTATTAGCATGGCAGTTTCAACTCTTGCTCCCTCAGTGTCTGGCTGATGACTCCAGACTGTGCCCTTCTTCATCCCATCATTATCACTTTGGCTCTCCCACCTAACTCTATTCTGTTTGGGTATTGGCCAGTCAACTTCTTTATTAAACCAATGAGAGTAATACATATTCACAGTGCATAGGATTATTTCAGAGCAGTTGATTTGGAATTTTTGCATTCATTATGATCACTGGTTTTAGCAAAAATGAGACATAATTTTTATAGATTATGGCATGGTTATATTATTGGTTACATCAGCATGCATGTATATAAGGACTATTGTATGTCTCCTCCAGACCAAGGCAAAGAAAACTAACATTGATTGTCTTCCTTTGTAGAGAACATGGTGTCCTGATATTGTGACTTGTCCATGCTTAGCATAGGTCTTTTCTGGCCTTCCCTTATTCACCTACAATGGCATCCTCTGGTGTATCATGTTTGCATCATCTTCAATGTCTTTCAAATTAGCTTCTTCTTATTCTACACTTGTTGCTAAATCCACAGGTGAATTTCATGCCTTGCATGGACTCTGTGCAATATTGGATGAAATCTTGGTGCCTGTGAAGGTCTTAAAACAAATTTTGCAGTGGCTATCACTCTGTATGCCCTGAACGTGTTGCTCTGATTGGTTAATAAATAAAGTGCTGATTGGCCAGTAGCCAGGCAGGAATTATAGGTAGAAAAATGAGAGAAGAGAATTCTGGGAACAGGAAGGCTGAGTCAAGAGTTGCCAGCCAGACACAGAGGTAACAAGATATAAAGATACCAGTAAGCCATGAGCCACGTGGCAAGTTATAGATTTATAGAAATGGGATAATTTAAGATGTAAGATCTCTCTAGCAAGAAGCCTGAGCCATTTGGCCATACAGTTTTAATTAATATAAGCCCTTGTGTGTTTCTTTGGGTCTGAGTGGCTATGGGCCCAGGCAGGACTGGAGAAAACTCCAGCTACAAAATTTTTCATCTTGTTCTTTCTGAATGAAGGGACTTGGATGCAGAGACTATAGAGAGAAAATATCCCAGAATTCCACAGGATAGGGAAGAGTTGGGTGTGAAAGGAATTGGCATTATTTGAGAGACAAATTCAGTCATGAATAAGATTGTAAACACACATGCACACATACACGAGAGCTATATGCATTCAACCTGGAAACTAGGGTCATCCTCAACCAGACTCATGGCTTTGTGATGATATTAGTAATTTAAGAAATAAAGCTACAGGCGATGGTGGTGCACACTTTTAATCCCAACACTCGGGAGGCAGAGGCAGGCGGATCTCTGTGAGTTCGAGGCCAACCTCTACAGAAACTCTGTCTCAAAAAACCAAAAAAAAAAAAAAAAAAAAAAAAAAAAAAAAAAAAAAAAAAAAAAAAAGAGAAAGAAATAAAACTTGCCTGAAGATCAGAGGACAGATGCACTCAGTGTTAAACATAGAGGTCAGGCAGTGGTGGCACACACTTTTAATCCTAGCACCTGGCAGGCAGAGATGAGTCTGGACTCTGTGAGTTCACGGGATAGAGAGACCAATTCAACACAATAGAAGTTAAATATGAGAAACCCACAGACAACCTGATCTCAGATGGAAAAGAACATGAAGCAACACCACTGAAGTCAGGAAGAGGCCAGAGATGCCCACTCTCCCCACTCCTTTACAGAACTGTGGTTGGAGTACTACCTGGAGCAATAAGGCAAGAGAAGAAAGTCAAAGAGGGCACAGAGAGAAAAAGAAGTTAATCTATCCATATTTGTTAATGAGATGATGTTATACATTAGAGATGCCAAAAGTTCTCCAGAAAAAATCTAGAAATGATCAACTGATTCAGCAATTTGGGCAGATAGAGAATCAACTTGTTCAAATAAATATCTTTTCTATACATCAAAACAAATGCACAGAGAAGAAATTCATAAACATACTCCCATTCACAAGAGTCTCAAAAACTATCTAGTAATAAATCTAACCAAAGAAGTGAAGGTACTTTACAATGAAAACTTTAAACCTCTTAAGAAAGAGAAAGAGAAACACAATAAAAAACAGATATTCCATGCTCACGGATTAGTAAAACTTACATTGTAAAAATCACCATTTTACCAAAAGCGATTTTGTCACTGCAATCCCAATCAATATCCACGTCTCCCTCTTCACAGAAACAGAAAAATATTATCCTAAAATTCATATGGACTCCAGACAAAGACAAAAGACCCCAGACAGTCCAAATAATTCAGAACAAAGAAACAATATTGAGGTATTATTTTCCAGATCTTATAAAATATAGAGCCATAGTAATAAAAATAGTATTCACTGGCAGGAAAACAGATATATTGGACAAAGATGTCACAAACATATGCTGGAGAAAAACCAAACATCTTCAACTGATAGTGCTGAGAAAACTGGATGCCCACATACAGAAGAATGAAGTTAGACTATTGTCTGTCACCTTACATAAAAACAAACTCCAAATTGATTAGAGACCTAAACTTGAAACTTCTAGAAGGATGCACAGACAGTACCCCACATGATATTCAAACAGGAAAGGCCTCCATTAGCACAAGAATAATAGCCAACAGTCTACAAGTGGGATTTCATAAAACTAAAGCTTCTGCATGGCTAAAGGAAAAATCCACCAGATGAAAAGGAGGCCCACAGTATGGCAGAGAATCCTTGCCAGGTATATATCTGACAGAGAATTTAGTATACAGAATATACAAAGAACCCAAAACACAATGAGTCAAAAAGAGAAAGAATGACCAATTCAAAAATGTCATTGGAATTGGCCTGGAAACAGTACAGAGAGTTACAAAAAGAAGAAAAAATGGCCAGGAAACCTCCAAAAAGATCATCATTCTTAGCTATTAGGGAAATGCAAATCAAAAGGGTTTTGATAATTCATCTTACCTCAGTCACAATGGCAAAGATTAACAAAACAATGAAAAACAAATATTAGGGGTAGTACAATTCTATTCAAGCCATGGAAACCTCAGGGTGTGGAGGTAGGGTGGGAGGCAGACTCCTGCAGCTGGATTGTTAAGGTAGAGGAGAGCAAGAAGGATAGTGAACCTCACTTAGCTGTGTCCTAGTCCAGTAATACTACATCACTATCAAGGAGAAGTCATTGTTTGCACAATGATTCACATTCTACTTTGTGCATAGTTTTCATCGTGGTCACCACTACATTAACACACATCATAGCTCCAGTGCCACACACACACACTGTGGAGTCACTGACTTAACTGATCCCTGTGCTTTTGGAAACAGAGCCCTTCTCCTGACAGCTTGACTCAGTGTATAGAGGAATGAAAACCTAGATGTATTTTAAAGTATTACATTTCTTTATGACACTATGTACTCAGACTCAGATAATTAGTGGGAGGACACAGTGCTCTAGGTTTAGGGGTGTTATGACAATATGCCAATTTATTGCTTCATGGTTCATAAAAGAATATTACAGAAAGTCAAAGTTAAGATTCAAAAAGGAAACTCGATTTCTACATTAACATGAAGATGATCATTTGGAAATCCACTCAGTACAAGAATTAGTTTCATTAGAAAGAGACACAAAATGTTTCAAGTGGTACACAGACATCATGTTGGGGTTCAGATATTATCTGCAGAAGATGATTCTGTGATTCATGGAAACATGGAAAACTAAACTAGGATTGAGAGTCTCAGTTCTACAGAACATGGGGTCTGCTATTGTGACTTGGTCAGACCTGCCATGGGCCCTTTATGGCCTGTTTCCCTCTTATCTACCATGGCATCATCTGGTGTAAAAAAGTTTGTATCACCAGAAATGGCTTTCCCATGAGCAGTCTCTTGGTTCACACTTGTGGCAGAATCCACTAAGACAATTTCATGTCTAGGGACTGGTTCTCTGTGGTCTTGGATGAAATACTGCCTGTGGCTGGAGAAAATCCTAAAAGCTATATTTGTGCATATTGCTTGTTATTCTGAAAGCAGGGCCTCAGATTCAATGCCTGAGGGAAGAAATTATTGGATAATTCCACAGGGGAGTGAAGACCTCTGTCAGAAAGGACTTGGGATGATTCAAGGGATAGCTGCAGTCATCAATAAAATTATAAGCAAACACTTATACACACATGAGGTATGTACATACATGCTGGACCTTGCAGAGTCCACCTTATCTTACTCAGGAAGGGCCAGACACTTTGTTAAAATGCTGTTCTCTTGGATTTTCATCTCTTCCCTTCTGCAGATTCCTATTCTCGTGTGCTCCTACAGAAGCAGCAGTGAGTGCTTAGTCAGAATCAACTATCGTTTAACTGGTAAAGGAAATGTGGTGATTGTTGGATTTTTCCCTGCTTTTAATGCCTACCCAATCAACAAAACAGTTGAAAGGAGAATGACTGTATTTAGCAGAGATTATATGATTGAGTGAGTCCTTTATTCATTTATTCCTTTTCAAGGTTTGGGATTCATATGCCTTAGGTGAAATCCAGATTCATGCATTATTATTCCCTCTTTACCCCATTAAGGAGTTTCCTCTCTTCCATTCTTAGATCTTTCTGCAGTGCTGTCTTCCTAGTGACTCATCTGGTTTTTCAAAATGGAAGAAGGAATTTGGGTTTTATTCTTTTCCTTTTCCACAGTAGACACTGGGAATTTCCCCCATAGTCTCTGCCATGCCTGTAACTTCTTAGGATTTGGATGTTTGCAATGATAGCTCTGCAAGAGAAAGATTATATAATAGAGGACTGACAGACTGTTTGAGGGGACTCTAAAATCTAGCTGTGTCCCTGTGAGAAGGGATGATATCACTGATGTTAATGTCAGCAGTTTCCTTGTATGATGCTGGAGTGACAATTTGTCAGTGTTTGTTGATGAAGATTTGGGACCAGGTATGTCAGCATTAGACACTGGAACCTACTCTCTGATTTAGAATAGCCTTCATCTGTCTCAGATTCTTTTATCTGATATTAGTATGTATATTCTTTGATAACTTAAGATGTTTTCCTGTTTCCTGCATATATATCCAATGTGTTTTTGATCGTTGCTATGAATGTGTTTCTGTGCACACATTGACTGCAATGGGGCTTCTGAAAGATTTTTCTAGGCATTCTCAAAGATGCAAGATTAAGACATAGTGTCTGACAAGTCTGCTTGAGTATCTTAGGTCCTGATAAGAGAAACAGTCATGTGTGTTGGGGTTTAAAAGAAGTCAGGTGTGTTTTATCCCAGACTGACATGTTCATAGCTATAGGTAACCACACAACAAATATTTGAAAATGAGAAATGCAGCTTAACTCAAGTCTGAACTCAACAAAGGCAACATGGAAATATATATTCGGGAATTAGGTTGGTGGCAATTGGTGGTAAATCACCTAAAATAAACATAGGACTGAGGATGGATATTTTTCTATGACATTACTGTCTGCTAAAATGTGACTGTGGAGTAAATCATCAATTCAGCAGTGAAACAGGACAAATGTTCAAGTGTGTTATGTCATTTGACATGAAGAATATTGTAATATGCTTTACTCTGAAATGGACCTACTGAAGGCAGCTGGGGAAATTTAAAAGTTGGCATCTAGATAAAATATTCTGTAGATGAGTCTACTGGCTCTAGGAATTGTTGCTTGCTTCATGTAAGGTTACACCTCTGTATGATCTCTCAGACATTTGATCCTGCATGCTAGAAGGAGACTCTTCTGCTTTACAGCAGATTGTGTCCCTGTTCCTCCCTGTTCCTCCTCTTCTCCTCTGCTTTCCAATCTCAGTAGCTCAGGCACCTCTCTGCATCAGCCTGAGTCCCTCTTCAGGTTGTACAGCAGCAACCCCATGCATGCAAAGATCACACATGTAATTAAATGAGCTCTGTATGGCTGGCTTGCCTAATATGTACAAGAAGAGAGTGCTGTGTCAATGTGATTTGATATCTTATGAAGTAAAAAAGAAACTAAAATAAACTTATAAAAGCAATAAGCAATTAACATATTTGATTAGACAAGCCATTTTCAATTTATACTTTTCATAGAGTGTGAGACACATGCAAGGATATATACTTCAAGGCTCACAGCTGATTTCATGCTTTTGATAAAATTTTTTACATAGGTGTGAGAAACCATGTGTGCAATTTGAAAGAGAGATTGTTGTCTTTCTCCAGTTAAATTTCCTCATTGTGGCTGCATAAATATATTTATCTTAATGACCATAACTACAAAAGACCGTAAGTTGTGCAGCAAACACTATTTTCTATGACACTAATATTTTGTGGTCTAATTTTCTACTTGGATTATACTTTGTTGTTCAAATTAGGAAGATGGTAAATGAATATTTGATAGGTAGAGAATAGTGTCTAATAGGTGTAAAGTATGTCTACCATTTGATTAAACCATATCAACCTACAAAAGCACATGATTATGCAAACTATAGAATCTTTTATTCATTGTGATTAATTTTCCTACAAAAAGTAATAATGACATTTTCTCTCACTTTGTATGCAAGTGCTTTTCCTTAACACTGACTTAAAAATACAGCTGACTTAGCTATTTCCAAGTTGCATTTTGTCACTTATATGTGCATTTGTACATTAATAACTTGAGACAATTTATGTATTAGAAGAATATGAAAAGTCAGAAATTTAAGATTTTTTTCTGTCTTGCTGTGGATATTTTCCATCTTTTGTTTTTTTTAAATTGAGAGGCATAAATATCTGTTTACTGCTTATTTGAAAAATTTTTATGATGTAATATTTATTCTAAACATTTATAATATGTCATACTGAAGGTGTAAAATAACATAAACTTTTAGTTTTACAAGGTATATTTTTAAGTTTTCAAAAGTATATTTTTCAGATATGACACAGCTTTCCTTCTTGGTTCTAAAACTAATGGCACTAATTTCTTTAATGTTTGCATTATCTTAGATATCAGTAATATTTATACATATTCATATGTCACTATGGGGTAGAGAATAATGATTTGTCATATGTAATAATGTGCAGCAATTTAACTATACAATTTAACATGTTCTTCATTTCAATTTTAGTGATATTATTTTTCCATTTTTTTTGTTTTTCAAGACAGGGTTTCTCTGTAGCTTTGCACCTTTCCTGGAACTCACTCTGTAGCCCAGGCTGGCCTTGAACTCACAGAGATCCATGTGCCTCTGCCTCCCGAGTGCTGGGATTAAGGGAGTGCTCCACCACCGCCCGGCTAAAAACGTCTTTTTTTTTTCTTTAATTGTCCATTTTATGATAAGTCATATGCTATCAGAACAAAGAATCTTACTGGACATTATGGTAGTTCATGCCTTTAAACTGAGCATTTGTAAGACACAGACAGGTCAATCTATGTTTTCAAGGCAAGCATGGTCTACATAGAAATTCTAGAACATGCAAATAAATATATTGAATTCTCTTTGAGAAATATCTTTTTAGATTCTCTTACTTTACTAGTAGAACTAATAAAAACATAGTTTATAAGTACTTTGCAGTGAAAATTTCATACATAATAATATTTGGGGAGGATATATATATGCCTTTTGAGTTGCCCAGAGTGTGTTTGTGTCTTGGTTCCCAGGAGAACAAAATGCCAAGTTCTAAGCCTCTGTGCTCACACTGAGATGGAGAACTATCATCCCATTTAGTTTTGCATTGTTGTGTAAATAGTGAATATAAGTGTAAAGGAGTCCTTATTTATATTATATGTTCTCTTTGGATGTAAAAAAGCTTGTAAACTAGTATATTTTGTATTAAAAGATTCTGCTCAAATTTTTAAGCCTCATAGCCCATTGGTTAGTAGAAAATAGAAGGTTTCTGGGCCAGAATGCTCATATTTTGAAGACATTTTAAAAGTATTGTTTCATGTGAGTGAGTTATTGAAGGCTGCTCTATGCATAGTGGACAAAATACTTTCCTTTTAAAATTTATTTTACATACCAATTAAAGATTCCCCTCTTCCCTCCTCCCACCCTTCCGCTTCCCCCTCCCCACCCAGCATGATTCCCTCCTACAAGAAGGAAAGGCCTCCCATGGGGAGGTACATTTAGTAGAGGCAAATTCAAGTCACTCTCCCTGCCTCTAGTCTGTGTGAGGTGTCCCATCATAGGCAGTGTGCTCCAAAAAGTCTGCTCATACACCAGGGATGGATTCTGATCCTATTGCCAGGGGGTCCCTTAAACAGATCAAGCTACATAACTCTCTTGATATGCAGAGGTCCTAGCCCCGTCCTATGCAGGCTCCACAGCTATTGACCCAAATTTCATGAGTTCCCACCAGTTTGGTTTGGTCATCTTTGCAGGTTTCCCTATCACAATCTTGATGCAATGCATTTGCTCATAGAATGCCTCTTCACTCTCTTTGACTGGACTCTTGGAGCCCTCCCTGGTGTTTTCTTGTGGATCTCTGCATCTGCTTCTATCAGTTACTGGAAAAAAGCTCTGTGATGACAGTTAGGGTATTCACCAATCTGATCACTGAGGTAAGCCAGTTCAGTTCATGCAACCTCTCCATTATTTCTAGTAGTCTAAGATGGGGTCATCCTTGAGGATTCCTGGGAGCTTCCCTAGCACCCAGATTCTCTCCATCACCATGATGTCTCCATCTATCATGGTATCTCTTTCTTTGCTTTCCCACTCCATCACTGTTCCAGCTCAACCATCCCATCCCCTTATGTTCTTATCCCCGATCCCCTACCCTCCATTGCCCACCATTCATCCAGTTTACTCATGGAGATCTCATCTATTTCCCCTTCCCAGGGCAATCCATGGATCCCTCTCTGTGTCTTCCTTCTTAGGTAGCTTCTCTGGAGTTTTGGGTTATAGTCTGGTTATCCTTTGCATTATGTCTGGTATCCACTTATGAGTGAGTACATACTGTGTTTGTCCTTCTGAGTCTGCGTTACCTCACTCAAGATGATATTTTCTAGTTCCATCCATTTGCTTGCAAATTTCATGATGTCATTATTTTTCTCTACTGAGTAGTACTCCATTGTGTATATATACCACCTTTCTTAATCAATTCTTCATTTGAGGGTCATTTAGATTTTTTACAGATTCTGGCTATTGTGAATAATGTTGCTGTGAACATAGTTGAGCATGTGTCCTTGTGGTATGATTGAGCATTTCTTGGGTATATGGCTAAGAGTGATAGAGCTGGGTCTTGAGGAAGATTGATTCCCAATTTTCTGAGAAACCATAATACTGATTTCCAAAGTGGCTGTATAAATTTGCACTCACACCAACAGTGTAAGAGTGTTCTCCTTGCTCCACATCCTCTCCAACATAAGTTGTCTTCAGTGTTTTTTTTATCTTATCCATTCTGACAGGTGTGAGATGATATCTCAGAGTCATTTTGATTTGCGTCTCCCTGATAACTAAAGATGTTGAGCAATTCATTAAATGTCTTTTGGCCATTTGAGATTCTTCCACTGAGA